GAGGAGGAAAGAACTGGGCTTTCCCTGCATTGGAGGAGGGCTGTATGTTGGGGGGGGGTTTTTTGTTTGTTTGTTTTTTAGAAGCCTAAGCCTGGAATGCCCTCCAAAGAGAGCTGGGCTTCTGCCCTCATTTGCTTTTTCTCCTATTCATACAAGTGCAAGGATGTCTGGTCAATCCATAGGGACTGAAGTTTCACCAATGAAACAGGTTTTTTAATTCCCTTTTTTGTTAGTCACCCCTCCGCCTAGTGCCTAATCACATGGGTAGTATTAAAGGAACCATCTCCTTTGGAGAGCTGACCACAAGGCAGAGACTCAGACAGTAACTGAGCTGTGTAGCTTTGGAATGGAGGCCATTCTTCTCCATCTCTCATGCCACAACTGGCACCCTCCCCCCAAGTCCCTGTCCCACCATTGGACCGTTTGGCCTGTCCTTCCATTCCCAGTGGCCTTGCCCTGAGGAGCTCAATCCCACAGGGGGATCAGAATACTCTCCAGAGCTGGGACCTGGGAGGCTCTTGTCCAGGAATCAGATGGGCGCTGGGTTGTGCCGTTGAGGTGGAGCTGGAGGGGGGTGGAGGGGGGAGGACACATTCATGCCTCCCCCGCATGCTCAGTTGGTACCAACCCCAAATAGGAGACTCTTTCGATTTGTCCTCCTAAGTCCCTGTGGGCTCACCCTTCTGTGGTTGCTCCTGCAGAGGGGCCAGCTGGCTTCACTCAACCTGAACCTGCAGTGTGCTCCTTCTAAGGGAGCTAGGATCAAAAACGCTGGCAAAAACTGACAGGGATGGCTCTGGAGTAGGGGCCACTTTCCCCCTATTGAGTGCCTGACCATGCTGCCCCCAAGCAGGAGACTTACTAGCCCCTTCCCTGCTCTGTCGAGCTCACACCTTGTGGTTGAAGCCAGTCTAGCTCCACTCTATAGTATTTCAACAGAAATCTGTCACACAAGACCAGGCAACCTAAGGGGAGGCACTGTGGCCAACAGAAGGAGGCAGACCTCAGGGTGCCTTAGAACTTCTACTGATCTGCCCCTGGCTCACAGCAGGAGGAACCCGACCCTTGTATACAACTTGGCCCCTCCCACACACCCAGGCCCAAGAGGCAGCCACAAACAGCTAATTGTGTGGTAGCTCCAGACAGGTAGCTCAAGACTGGCTACAGGCAGCATTTGACATCAACCTGCACTGACACCCCACCCAAGTGGACCCAGAACAAACACAGTTAGAGGTGAGCTTCAGAACACACCAGAGCTCAGCACAGCTAACCACACAAGTGGCATACCAAAAGGACATCCTGGCAGGCACCAGACTCTGCTGGAAACAACTTCACCTTGGGGGTCAGCCCCCATACAGGGGCTCCTACACTGTGATCAAGGTCTATACTTACAGTCAGTCAGCCTGAGGGTTAGACCCACCCACAAATGGGCCAACAGCATTCAAAACTCAACTCCAACAGGAGGGTGTACATAACCCACACAAGAGACATTCCTGGAGCACCCAGATCAGGTGATCTAGAAGGTTGCACCACTGAGCCCCAGAGGAGACTTTTAACATGAAACCACCATTATAAGTTTGGGAGTCATAAAAGATGTACCTAATACCAATAATGAACACAAAAAGGTAGACAAAATGGGGAGGGAAAAAAAACATGCCCCAAATAAAAGAACAACAGAAATCCCCAGAAAAAAAATTTAAATGAAATGGAAGCAACCAAGATACCATATGCCAAGTTCAAAAGAGTGGTTATAAGGATGCTCAAGGACGTTAGGAGAAGACTGGATCTCAGTGAGAAATTAAAGAGATAGCAAGCATGAAAAAGGACATAGAAACCATAAAAAAGAACCAGCCAGAAATCAAGAATATAATATGTGAAATAAAGAATACACTAAAGGAAACAGCAGGTTAGGAGACGCAGAGGACTGAATCGGTGATATAGAGAACAAGGTAACAGAAAACACTCAAACAGAGCAGCACAAAGAAAACAGAATTTTTTAAAAATGAGGACAGTCTAAGGGACCTCTGGGACAACATCAAGCATAACAACATTCTCATCATAGAGGTACCAAAATGAGAAGAGGAAGAACAAGAGATCAAGAACCTACTTGAAGTGATAATGGCTGAAAACTTCCCAGACAAGATGAATCCAAAGAGGCCCACACCAAGACACATCATAATTAAAATGGCAAAGGGTAAAGACAAAGGATGAAACTTAAAAGCAGCAAGAGGAAGACAGTTAGAAACCTGCAAGGGAGCTTCCCTAAGGCCGTCAGCTGACTTCACAACAGAAACATTTCAGGCCAGAGGGGATTGGCATGAAATACTCAAAGTGATAAAAAGCAAGAACCTATAACCAATACTACTTTACCCAGCAAGGCTAGCATTTAAAATTGAAGGTGAAATAAAGAGCATCCCAGACAAAAAATATATATAAAAAATTTTATTACCACCAAACTAGTATTGCAAGAAATGTTAAAGGGTGTTCTTTAATAAGAAGAAAGAAAAACAGAAATAGAAAGAGGAACATAGGTATAAAGAATAGAATGGCAATAAATAAGTACCTATCAATAATAACTTTAAATGTAAATGCATTACATGCTCCAATCAAAAGACATAGGGTATCTGAGTGGATAAGAAAACATGACCCATATATATGCTGTCTATAAGAAACCCACTTCAGAAAAAAAGGTACACACAAACTGAAAGTGAAGGGATTGGAAAAGATATCCTATGCAAATGGAAATAAAAATTGTTTAAAAACCTGGGCAGTAATACTTACATTAGAAAAATTAGGCTTCAAAACAAAGACCATAACAAGAGACATTACATAATACTAAAGGGATCAATCCAACAAGAAGATATAACCCTTGCCAACATATATGCACCCAACATAGAAGCACCTAACTAAATAAAGAAAATCTTGGTGGACATAAAAGATGAAATTCACAGCAATACAGTCACAGTAGGGTATCTCAACACTCTATTGACATCAACGGATAGATCTTCCAGACACAATTGTCAAAATATCCGTGAAGCCAATTTGGCCATATCAATAAAAATTAAAATCTTAATACCTTTTGAACCAGAAATTCCACTTCTAGAAGTTTATACTGCAAGTACTATTATATAGGAAGTGAAACATTTATTGCAGTATTGTTTCTAATACTCAAATATTACAAATATCATAAATGACCATCAGTAATTAAAGTAATATATATATTACCTATGTAATATTATGCAGTCATTAAAAGAATAATATGTTGGGGAGGATCTCTAATATATAAATATGCATAAACACACATGATGAATAAACATGTACTTATTTGTATACAAAATTTCTGGAAGGATATACGAGCAGCTGTTAACAGTAGCTGTTGGGAAGAAATTGATTCATAGAGAATAGGTTAATGGAAACATTGCATACCCTTTTCTTCCTTTTAGATTTTTATTCATTTTTACTTTTTAATTTTTCATTTTGAAAAATGTTCGGACTTAGAAAAGCATTGCAAAAAATATCAAGGAATTTTTGTATTATACTTTTCGAGTGTTAACACCTTATAAAATCACCATATAGAAAATTAATCTTAATATAATACTATGAACTATTTACAGACCTTCAGATTTCATCAATTATGTCCTTTTTCTGTTCCAGATTCAAGTTTTCATGTTGTCCCCAATTTAAAAATAGTTCCTAACTTTATTTGACTTTCACGACCTTGCCCAATACTGTCAAGTTACTGTGTAAAAGGTACTAATTTCAATTTGTCTCATGTTTCCTCCTGTTGAAATTCAGGTAATGCATTTTTTGGCAAGAATAGCACAGAATCAGTGTTGTGTTATTCTCAGCTGATCATATCAGGAGGCATGTGATGTCAGTATGTCTTGTTACTGGTGACCTTAACTTTGACACATAGTTAAGTCAGGTTTCTCCTCTAAAAAGTTATAACCAAAGAACTTAAATGCATGTATGCATTACCCATGGACACAGACAATAGTGAGGTGAAGGCCTGGAGTGAGGTGGGAGCCATGTGGAGGGGGGCAAGAAGGGGCAAAAAGGGGGGGCATCTATAATACTCTCAACAATAAAGATAATTTTTTAAAAACTTATTGTTTCCCCCTACTTTGTGGGGATATACTTTGAGGATACACAAATATTTTTCTCAACATATTTACCCTAATAACTTCAGCATCTATTGGTGATTCTTGTCTACAATAATTAATGGTATTTACCAATTAGTAATTTTTATTTTCATCATTCCTTCTACACATTTTTCCTCCTACACTTATAAACTGGGTGTCTGTTGTGAGAGCCTTCCCTTTCCCACTTTAATTGCTTGTTTTTGTAAGTATTTATGTCCAGACTCATGGATATTTATTTTATTGTGTGTGTTATAATCTGACATTTAGGAAGAGCTCCTTGAATTTGGCCCATGTGTCCTGTCGACATGTCCCTATCATTATTCATGTCTTCTGCTCATTTTTCTATCAATTTTTTTGGACTGTTGTCCCTCAATGTCTAAGAGGTATTTTTAAAAATATATATATATTTTATTGATTTTTTTACAGAGAAGAAGGGAGAGGGATAGAGAGTTAGAAACATCGATGAGAGAGAAACATCGATCAGCTGCCTCCTGCACACCCCCCACTGGGGATGTGCCTGCAACCAAGGTACATACCCTTGACCGGAATCGAACCTGGGACCCTTCAGTCCGCAGGCCGATGCTCTATCCACTGAGCCAAACCGGGTAGGGCTAAGAGGTATTTTTAGATTTAAAGATAGTAACCCTTTTCTGATATATATGTTACAGCCTTCCTTTTGAATTGTACACTATGTGAGTATAATACTTTTTAGAACTTTAAAAAACACACTGGGATATGTTTTGTAGAAACTGAAAAGGAAAGAAGTAAAAATATGGCAAGTTGCAGGTTGGGAGTGATGTTACTTCAGTGTGTAGTGAGCACCTCTCCTGATCCTCAGATTTTGACTTGCCTTTTCTTTCAGGAACCCGCCCAGTAAAGCAGCAGACCTGTGCCAGCTGGGAGGCTTGGTGAATGGCCGGGTCTGAGCAACGGAAGGTGAGCCCTGACTCCCACTCTCTCCTCATCTGTTTTGGTACATGTGTCTGTGCAGTGTCACTGGTTCCAGAAAATAAATGGAAAGTTACACACATGACTCACTTTCCGTCCTTGTGGCCTCCTCATGCTCCGGCAAAATTGCAGGAATGGAGCTCCTGGAGGTCTTTCAGAGCTTCTCTTCTAAATATAAATGCAGGGAAACTAAAAATAAACAGTGATAAAGGTGAATTTTATTGGTTCCTAAAATATCAGTGCACCAAACGCGTAAATTTAGCTCTCAAGGAGTGAGGAAGACACAGGTGCCTATTCACTTCTAACTGGGATTTTACAAATGAGAAGAGAAGCTTTTGGAGGGTTGCTGAATAGCTAGAATATCTTGATTTTTTTTTTCTTCAGTCGTGCTAAAGGCAGGACCACAAGGAAATAGTTCTTCCATCATCTAATCTTTTTGTAGCAAGTTCCTTAGGGACACATAATGCACAGGAACAGAATTGAAGCTTGGTGAGTCCACCATGGCAAACCAGGGCCGAGAGAACGCCGTGATGAATCTCTGAATCGTCAGGCAATGAAGGGGCATCTGAACAGTGCGGTGTGCACAGAATCAGGGACCAGCCTGACAGTGTCTGTCCCACAGTGTACCATTAATACGCGTTTGAATAAATGAATAGAAAGGTATCCTGTACTGCCTTGTATTATTATTAGGGATCTGAAGGCTGGTGTTAAATGCTGTAAGAGCTCACATGAGAAAAGCAAGGCAGAGAATGAAGGGCAGCGAGACTCCTAAACAGACGCTCTGAGCTAGCCAGAACTGGAAGGACAGCCAGTGGGTGAGAATTAGGACAGGACCTGCCAGGACCCAATTGCACAAAGGGCCACAGGTGACAACAGCAGCAGATAGTCCAAGGCATTCCTGGGATGTGAGAGCCCACCCCTGCAAACAAGGTCAGGCCCTGCCAACACCTGTCCCAAATGCCTAACAGAGAAGAAAGCACACTTACCTACCGCAGGCAGTAGCAGACACTTAGAACCCAAGTTACATAGCCCATTGCCAGGCAGAGGCAATATTATCTTCCACTTCAAAGAAGATGGCTAGAATACTTACACAGCCTCAATATTATCATAAAAAATATTTTCCCCAGCTACTCCTGGCCTCCCCACTCTTCCAGACAAATACATCCTATATAACCAACCATAGACATTCTCTGAACAGGCTGTATCCTCATACTCTTCCACGCCTTTGTTTATCCTGTTCACATTGCCTGTGATACCATTCATGTATCCATCCATTTGTTCATTCAGGAACAAATTTATTGATTTGTTTCCCAATTGTGATTGATTTTTTGATTTGCCAATTTACTGATCACCAGTTATGTTCCAGGTATTGTGCTAAGCGCTGACAATATTGTGGTGAGCAATATTCTCATCTGTCTCTTAGGAGAGAGAGGAAGAGAAAATAAACAAATTGAAATAAGTATTTATTTACACATTGTGATCAGTTCTAAGAAGAACATGATTGTGCTAGGAGAGAAAATACCAAAATGGACTGACTGCGGAGAGTGCGGTTAGGAGAGGCCTCCTGGCTACCTACTCTGTGCAGCATTTCCTCACATTGATTCAGTCGCTTTTCTCTGCTTCATTTGCTTCTACCTTTGATTGACACCTCTCTTTTGTAGTTAATTGTTTCTATACCCAAGTCTCTCAGCACTCAGACTATTAGTTCTCTCTGTGGAAGGAGGACAGAGGGGAAAGCACATGACATTTAGAGTCAGAAGACCTGATGCTGAATTTGTCTTCCAGGTTACCTCTGGATACTTGACAAGTCATTGAATCTCATTATCTTAGTCTCAATTCCCTGGAAGCAGAGCTGAGGCTAAAAAGGCTGTGTCTAAGTATTTTGTTGGGGAAAAGACCCCAAAGAGTAGAAGTAGGAATGGAAAGTGGAATGAGAAAGGAGGAAGAGCCAACACAAGGATAGGTTATTGAGTTGGCCATTGCTACAGGTTGATGGGCCTCTGGGCCTTGGGAGGAGCCCTATGAAATGGGTCTCAGATGACTGAGGGGAGCATTTATCTGTTGGCCAATCTCCCACTGATTAAGGGAGCCCACATGAGCACAGACCCCTCTCCATTCTAAGTTTCACAATACACGAGTTTCCACCAGATGCAGCAGATCCTTCATCTGAGTGGTCAGAGACACCCAGGGCAGGAAGCAGGAGTGCAGAGAACTGGCTGATGAGGCAGTGACTGGAGTAAGAGGTGGGATGAAAGGGTTTAAAGTTGAGGCTTCTGATCCCCTCATCTATAAAACAGATGCAGTGATGATAGTGCCTGGCTTAGATGTGTGAGTTCTATGAGGTGCTCTAGAGTTCTGTTACTCTCCAGAACTTACCAACACTATGCAAACGTCACCACTGTGACCGTTATGGTTGTCTTCCGGTTTATACCCCAGGAAAGCATGTGGCAGACAATTAAACAAGACACAAATGTGAGTGGGCTGAGTAAGTAAGGGGAGTGGAGGAGCAAATACAGAAGTATCCCAAGCTCTTTATCCAAGCTTCCTATCAATGAGAGATAAATAAATATATCTTACTCAGTTACATTCACATTCCATTAGATTTGAATGAAGCAAATGATGGCAGGCGGGTATTTTTAAAACAGCTTATTTGAAAAATTCATTGAGGCCCTATTCTTGAGAGAAGAGAGCTGAGAGACGGTTTCCTGGCCTTGTAATGTAACCCCATTAATGTCCTTAATTTCCTTTGGCTTTTTCCAGTGTCTGACAAAATGCTCAAACAGAATCTGGGTGAGAAAATCATTCAGAAGTAGGAGATAGTGTTCTCTCTGTCTTAAAAGCTCATAAAACATGGGGAAAGCAGGGCCAGGCCAATTACCCTCAGTCAGAAACACGGTAGGCAGAGCATGTTGACATAGTCGTTAGTCACACATGGTAATGGGTTCAGTGAATTGAAGTCAAGCAGCAGCAACCTGGGGAGGTTTCGTTTCATTGCCACTTCATTTCCGGTAGCACTTGCAGGATCCGTGGCAGGCAGGGCCTGGCAGTGGGGCTGAAGGGGTGGTGAGAGTAACGAGAAAATTAACAGTGAGAGCACATGTCACAAATGTTATCCAGAGGGGTGCGCAGAGGTGTTAATGGAGCGTGGAGAATGGGTGCAGATGCAGTGCACCTTGCGGCCTGTAGGGGAAGAGAGGAAGGGCCAGTGCAGCATTCCGAAAAGGAGAGATGCTTCACCTAAGGCTCGATGGGGAAATGGACCTGAGTTGGATGTTGTCCTGGGGAGAGGGCATGGCAGGCAGAGAGAAGAGCCTGGGCAAAGGCCTAGAGGTGAGAGGGAGCATGGGGCACTGGAGGAATTGCAAGAGGGTCAGGGTTCAGAGTAGGAGGAGCATGCCTGGACACGGTGAGAGATGAGGCTGCAGCTGCGGGACTAGTGGGGGCAGGATCCTAAGGAGCCTTCTCTGTCAGAGGAGTGCATTTGAATTTGCCAAAGGAAAGAGGCAAAGCACAGAAGGATTTTAAGCAGTGGGATGGTGTGATCCCATCAATGCTCTATAGAAGGATAGCTCCAGCCATGTTGCAAGAGAGAGGAAGACAAAGTGGATACATGTGGGAGCAGGGGCTGGGTTTGGAAATGATTGTAGTGGCCAGTCTGAGGAGAGATGACAATGACCTTTGGCAGCGGAGTGGGGATAGAGAGGAGGTGACACGTTTCCAAAGGGGAGCCTACATGCTGGCGATCGTTTGTTTGGATGTGGAAGACAAGAGAGGAGGAGATGGTCAAAGTGAATCCCAGGATGTACCTCAGGTGCCCAGGTGGATGGTGGTGCCATTTGGTGAAGGAAGGAAGAGGTTCATAGCGAAAGTAGAGCAGAATTAGAAGAGTGGGAGGAGGAGACATCTCCTTGGAATGTCTTCTTTTTCTCTGTTTACTTTTGGGCACTGGATCCTTTTGTACTATTTTTGCACAGGAAAAGGGGTGTAGTCCTCAAAGTTCTTAGGACTCCCACATATGGCGATGCTGGCTGTGCCTGCAGAAGGGCATCTGGCCAAGGAGACTCCGTGGTGCTGAAATGCAGTGCACAGCTGGCTCCTTAGGGGTGGCTGGCCAGGGCCGCAGCTGTCTGGAGGAGGGGACACTTCCTGCTCAGAGTTTCCATTTGCCTCTCCAGATCCACTCCCCTCCATCCGCCCTCCTCTGTGGCCTGGAGGGCTGGCCTGGATGGACTGCATCCCTCACTCCCAACTTCTGGCTGGAGATCGAAGGGGAAAGAATTTGTTCTCTTGGCTCCCCTCCCCGTCCCCCGCCGCCCCCCAATTGGCCATTGTCTCTATTTCTTCCTTTGCTGAGTGTCACAGCTCCCATAGCTACTGTTGGGTTTTGAGTACAGGGTTCTCTCCCTTTGCCCCTCAGACCTGGGTGCTGACTGCCCACTGTTGCCAGCACCAGGGTACTGTGTGCCATGCCTTGTGGTTTCCCCTGAAACTTTCCCACGTATCTATAAATGGTGCCTTCCTTACGCTCCTCTCAATTATCCAGTTTTCAGTTGTCACCTCTGTCCTGCCAGGACCAGGACTGATTCAGAGTATTTTTCTAATTAACACAAAGCAACATCTCCACCCATCTCACCATGCACCTGTGGAGCTGTGCCAGTCATAGGGACCCCTATTTCTAATTCTTACCAGGGTGCTATATTAGCAAGGGGGCCCTATAGTTTCTGAAACCTGGGCCACCTTAATCCATCTGGAAAGTGGGTGCCAGACTTGCTTTTCAGTCTGACCCAAAGTTTGAGTAAGAGGGAAGAGAATCGTTATCTGAGTCTGTTCAGGCTGCTACAACAAAGTACCACAGACCCGGAGGCTTAAAACAACAGACATTTCTTTCTCGCAGTTTTACATCCAAGATCCAGGCTCCAACATACACCTTCCTGGTTCATAGCCAGCACCTTCTCGCTGTGGCCTCACTGCTGGAAGGGGCTTGGGATCTCTGGAGCCTCTTTTATAAAGGCACTCATCCCATTCATGAGGGCTCCCATGGGCTCCACCTCCTCATACTGTCACCTGGGGGTTAGAATTTCACATGTGAATGGGGGGTGGGGCACACGAACATATAGAGCACAGCAGCAGGAAAGAGGAAGATGCTCAGAGTCAGCAGACCGAGGGGAGAGGTGCTGTGGATTTGTCAGCGTCAGGTGTCAACATCCATCCATCAGGCTTTCCTTGGGAATTGAAAGTTGACCCTTGGGAATTGTTTGGGAGGAGTAGAATGGCAGCTGCTAACCCCCACTCTGCCAAGATGGACGTCTCCCCTTCTTTAAGCCTCTCCTTCTCCTACCCGACCCCCTCTTCCCTCACCATGGCCAAGTAAAAAGTAATCCTCATTTTCTATAATTTAACTCTGAAATCAGGTACCAAAGGATATGTTTCTTAAACTCTCTGGTTTAACAAGACATTATAAAAGCCCTTGATCTTCATTCCTTCATACTATAGAGATAGAGAAATTATTCTGAATGCATATTTTTAAAATGCACATAATATATGTGTATTTAGATCATTATTTGTTCACTTGTTCATCCATTCATCCATTCATTCATTCATTCATTTATTCTTTATTCATTCATCAAAGAGATATTGAATGCCACCTAAGACTGGATCACTGTATCTATTAGGTCCCTCACCTATTCCTAAAGGAAGAGGGGTGAAGCATGCAAGGACTACAGAAAGATGGGCTATACCAGTGGTCGGCAAACTCATTAGTCAACAGAGCCAAATACCAACAGTACAACGATTGAAATTTCTTTTGAGAGCCAAATTTTTTAAACTTAAACTATGTAGGTAGGTACATTGTTATTAACTTAATTAGGGTACTCCTAAGGCTTAGAAAGAGCCACACTCAAGGGGCCAAAGAGCCACGTGTGGCTCACGAGCTGCAGTTTGCCGACTAGGGGCTATACAAAGCCAGAATGTGTAAAAGACAGGTGGAGGAAAAGGGGAGGGGGGAGGCTGAAGCCGGCCCTTCCCCTGATGGCAATAAGGCTAAGTCCCCATATTTAAGATGACCCTGGGCAGGCTCACGTTCTCACTCCATGTTCACGTTCATTCCTTCCTCTCGCCAACAGCTCTGCCTGCATGGAGTAGGCTGTGCTAAAGGCCTGCATGTTGCCAGATACTTGACCACCTGCGTGTATGAAAGCTTTAGATGTTGCAAATGGGAAGCAATGGCCAAAGGAGCTAAGGAGCCTGTGAGCTTGTTCCCCAGTCCTCAGGAACGAGTAGACAACTCGTTCTCCAAGACTGAGGAAAAAGGAACGCATTACTTCATGGTTTTCCTGTGACCCTTTCCGGCATGGTGTGTGGTGCTGTGCTGAGCTACGGGGCAATGTTAAAGAGGCTCTGGCTTCTCAAATTCATTGCCTGAATATCTGGAATCTTTATTCCAGGAAGTCATACAGCTTCCAAGCAGCACAGATGAAATTAAGCTAAAATAAATCATTGCACTTTGATGTCCTAGGGAAATCCCAAGTATCAAGGCTCTCTCAGAGCAATAAATTGACAAGAGATCAAAGCTTGTTCGGGTTTGCTGGCCTTCCCCAGAGGTTCCCAATTTCCTGAGAACCAGGGGTGAGCAGAGGACCTCATTCAGCCTCAGCATTAGCCCTCTAGTTTACATGTGTTTCTCTACATCCAGCTATTGCTATGTGCACTGCAGTGTGGGATCTCCCACAAACTCTTCCTCTGCACCCCCCACCAAATGAAGGAGACAGAGAGAGAGAGAGAGAGAGAGAGAGAGAGAGAGAGAGAGAGAGAGAGAATGTGTGTGTGTGTGTGTGTGTGTGTTTAGAACTTGAATAAAGATCTGCTTTCCAAAATCTTCTATTTTTTTCTCTTTACTTGCCTCCTTTCCTTCCATTTTTCTTTTCCTTCTGTTCCTTTCTCCCCCTTTTATTTATTAAGTTACTCAATTATTCATTTATTACCTATATCTGGGATCTGAGCTTAAGCTAGCTAGCATCCCTCCCCCAGTAAGGATTTAGACTTAAGTCTGGGAATGCCTGGATGATTTGTGGGGTGGGCCTACCATGGGTCTGTATACCTGAGGGACAGAAGCCTCCGAGGAAGGACCCACTCCACCGGGAGAGGAAGTGGAGGACACCTACTAGGCTCAATTGCAATGGTCCAGGATTGGGGTGGCATTTGGGGTAGTCCTGATGTTATTTTGAAAACAGCACAGTGCTTATCACTCAGATGTCTTCTGGCCTAGCACCCAGGGACTTGTGCCTGAGTCTTAAGTTGAAGGTGTTGGAATAAAAGGGCAAGTGAAAACTAAAATAGATTTTTGCTCAAATGTCTCTAGGTGACAGAAAACAGCAGCAGCTGCTACAGCACCAGCCTCGAGCCAGGCAGACATCATTGTCCTGGACCCTGGGCAGGCACAGCTTTGGCATGAACAGTGCCAAAGGCAATGCCTCAAAAGGCCACTTTGGGGTCAGCAGCAATGGAGACCTCAGCCCGGTAAGCACAAGCAGGTGTGCGTGTGACAGCAGGGCCGTGGTGCTCAGTGCCTGTAGAGAATCACTGGAGATTCCCAGACTTTGAGGAATAAACTTGATGTGAGGATAGATAGTTAGTTGGAGCATCCACACAGTGATTTGGGTAAATCTAGAAAACACTGCTTTGTGTCTCATATTAATTAAGGCCTGTTTCACTCCAGATAGCTGAGTTTAGGGGACATGGACTGTTGCCTATTCCTTAATTCCAGTTTAGTTCCAAAAAGGATTTGCAGAAGCTTTGCATGAAAGCCTGTGATATCAAAGAGCTGCTATTTTTAAAAAGAAGGTAAAGGAGCCATAGTCAAGAAATAAAGACTGGAAGGAAGGAAAGAAAAAAGATGTTGCACTAGAAAGCCTAGTCAAGCCCATGTTTGTGGTGGATTTGAAACCCCTGTCTCTTTGGGGTTGAATTCCTGAGGATGCAACTCTATGCCTGATCAAGATCCGAAAAAAGATGAAGTGCAATTATTCAGATGGAGATGTCATTTCCCTCCAAATGTATTACTGTGCCCAAACAGAACGGTTCCATACCGTGCTACCTGGAGCATTGAATTTAACTTGAGCAGATTGTTAGAAAGTACTGATTATTGCTTCTCTGCCCCAGTGCTGCAAGTAGCAATAAAGTGCAGCAGACTATGGGTGCAGGGCCGGCATTTGAACATGGGTCTTTGGTTCTGTATCCTGGTTGCATAGGCTCCTGACTGGCCATAGGTCTGGAATGGTCATTCACCTGGATTTTTTTATAAGCACTCCAGAAGATTCTGATGCTCAGCCACTTTTCAGAAATTTACTCCCCGAAACCATCTGTCTCAGCTGGAAGGCTCAATGGGTGAATCATCTCAGGTTAAATGGGGACAATAATATAGGAATCTAATTGCTGAGTAAGATTGGAAAATAAGAAGACAAGTCCCTGAACAAGGAGCACACAGCATGCTGGCAAATTGAGGCAGGTATCAAAGAATTGGCAGTTCTTTTTATTTAATCCCTTTATATGTGTTTATATGCCCCAAGCAAACTCATTCCTACAGACACCATCAAGGGGGGAACCGGCACTAGATGGATCCCATGTGGGTCCCATGGACAACTGCAGTCGGAATGTCCAGAGTGAGCAGAGCAGACAGGCCACGTCTGTCTGTCTGGGAGGCTACACACGTGGCCTGTGCCCCGCTCAACCGGAAAGGCCGAGAAACATGCCAGCTGACCCATGGCCCTTTACAATTTCAAAATTACTGTAATTAAACATCTCCAAGATTGTCTAAGGTTCCCAGAGCATTATGTACAACTAGAAGGTTCCTGAGATGACAAAGGAGAGAGCAGTAAGGAAACAAGAGAGCATTATAGGAGAGACAGTAGCAAAGCTTGGGCAGAAATGATCTTACACCTTTGAGACTACAAGGAGAGCCCCGCTAGGGAAAGGAGAAGAAATCACATTTATTAAGCACCTAATACGTGCGTCATTCTGTTTTCATGTATACCTTGTCTCATTTCATTCTCAAGTAGCTCTATCCATAGATATTTTTATTCTGTTTTACAGGTAAGGAAACTGAGGCTTGGACAGGGCAGGTCATTTATCCAACGCGACTTAGACAGTAAGAAAGAACCGGGACTTGTAATCCAGGCCTATAAGCACACAGAGTCCATGCCTAGCTCATTGTATACACACATACACGTGTACCTATATGTAGTGTAGCAAATGCATGGTAAGTTCCAGGCTCTGTCCTAAGTGACTGACAACTATTAACTCATTTACTTCTCACTATGACCCTAGGAAATAACCGCCCTGTTATTTCCAGTCCACGGATGAGGTAATTGAAGGAAAGAGATAGCTTGCGAAGATCCCATTTCTGGTGGCAGAGCTGGCTGCCTGGCTAAGAGCCCGTTCTTTCACTATGACTCTGTCGCTACGTGAATGGAAGCACATTTTCTGAGCACTTACTCTGTTGGTACTGCTTTGAGTACTTTAAATTTATAGACTTGTTCAGTTCCTGTGGTTGGAGGGGTCTACACATTGAAGGTCTGTAAGGTCCATAATTATAAGTGTGGGCTCTGGAGTCAGTCCCAGTCATTTACTAGTTAAATAACCTTGGGTAAATCATTTAAACTCTCAGTGGCTATTTCCTAAAGTGGAAGTTCCAATTGTTTCTATTTTATAGATTTGTGGTAGAGATTAATTATTATGCATAAAGTACTTAGCATAGTAGAAAGTCTGGCAAGTAGAAAGTGCTGGAGGGTGTGTGTGTGTGTGTGTGTGTGTGTGTGTGTGTGTGTGTGTGTTTTAAGACAACCAAGGAGCTTGCACTTAGTACACAGGGTCGTGAGGGTCAGCATCTACACGGTACTGTGGCCTTGACTTACGTCTCCTGCAGGGTCACCACCAGCTCCAGGACGGGCTGCTTGTGAGTGCTGTCCTTTGGCAGGCCATGCCTCACCAGGGTGCTGGCTGCCCGTTGCTATTTTAAGCTGAAGAGATGAGTTGGCTGTAACCCAAGAAAAAAGCTGAAAGGGGGAAACTAGAAGTGACTAAGAGGCTGCAGGATGCCAAAAGGAAACTTGTCCACCCAAGACCAGAGAGTGTATCCTTGATAAGTACCTCAGTCTCTGCATCCTTGAAACTGAGACTTGGCTGCCTAGCAATTAATCAACATTTCAAGGCTATTTGACATGGCAAGAAATAATAAATGACTCCGTGGTATCGAGATGACTGCTTGGCCTCAAGGCCCAGCAAGGATGATGCATTGAGGGATCCCCCTGGCAACCAGGAGGCGGGAAGCCCAAGGGGAACAAGGCCAATAAGCAGCAGCCTGGTGTACCGTGGCTGTTACCAGGTGGGTGCTCACCCCTCCATCCTCTCTCCAGCTTGGCTCATCACTTTGGAAACCTTGGGGTCCTGGGGATTCACTTGGGGGAGTGGGGGGTCAGGAACTGTGAGCCAAAGTTCTTCTATGTAAGCTGGGCCTTCAGCCCCAGGAGGAATGGCTGCTTAGTTCTGAACAAATGCTGAAGAATGGGGCTGAAGCTGCTCAGTTTTCATGATCGCCTCCATCTTCAGTGTTCCTCTCTGTTTGCCTTGTGCCTCCCACAATACCTGCTGAGCTTTTGCACACATTATCTCCTTTGCTGATAGGTGTCATTCTTTGTATTTTATAGACAAAGGAACTGTGGCCCAAAGATGTTGTTTAAATTGCCCAGGAAGGCACAGAAAGGAAACAGGTCTGGAAAGGTGGCCAGAAATGTGGGAGGGGCCAGAGCATGTAGGAGCCTCTCTGTTTTATCTTTATCACAGAGCAAAGCAGCACCATTGAGAGGTTTTAAGCATGAGCAGGACAAAAACAGACTTGCATTTTGAACAGGACGCTCTGGCTGCTGAGTAGAGAATGAATGAAATGGAGATGAGTTATGAGTCTAATGCAGTGGTCCGGGTGAAAGGAGATGGTAAATGCAGGTGGTAGTGATGGAATGAAGTGAATGAATTCCAGAGATATTTGAAAGACAAGGGCCTGCTTGCTTTTCAGGGGACCTTGGAAAATAAGTGCATCTTCTTTTCATCAAGTCTTGCAGAGAAGAAATGGTCAAGACAAAGTAAGAAATCTCAGATTCTGTGCTAGCCAAAGAATATATCTTGAAATTCCCCAAGAATTATTATAAAAGGCTTGGTGCTTTATTTGCAAACGTTTCAGAACTGTAGTCTAGGCAGTGAGCAACTAAAGACTATTGCACAACTTGAAGTCCTTGGAGAGGAATTTGGCTGGAAGATCTGAGAGCCACAAGAGCTTCTAGATGCCTCCCCTGTCCAGCATTCTTAGTGCAGAGCACAAGGCCTTCACCCCAGAAGCCACATCTCACTAAGGGACAATGCTAACTCCTCCCTAATTCTGCAGGTCAGTGCTTTTAATCTGTTCTATTTCCAGCATTTTACCATAACCCATGTCAAGGTAAATGGAACTGGCAATGCTAGATTTAGGAGGAAGGAGTGAGAAAGCTAAATGGAGATCTTGGCTGAGGATCCAGGGAATGAACCCGACAACCAGCTGGCGCTAGACATTGAAGTGTGCAAGCAGGAAACTTTTTGGAAAGCAAGGAAAAAGATGCAGATTAACTGAGCCAAGTAAGCCCTAATTGTGTAAAGATCTCCATTGAGAAACTAGAAGAACCTCAGACGAGAGCATTTTATGACTGAAAGCTGAGAGTTGGTTAGAAGAGTGACCTCTACATTTTCAGAGATAAGTTAGACTCCAGTACAGGAGCTGGAACCTCTTTGTTGCTCTCTTTGGCTGAATGAGTGAATGAATGAATGAGACCACTAGACTAGAGCTTGGTTCAGCCCCTTGCATTGGTTTGGCCACTTTATTCAGCCACTGCCTCAGGAACATGGCTCCTGGTTTGGAATTCTGCTCCTACAGGTCTTCATGTGGCTGAATTCCTGATTACTAGGAACTCTCCAGTACATTCCTTACTTTCCCTGGAGCACTTACCACTCTGTGACAATCTGTTTTCTAATTTGCTTATTTATCTATCATTGATAGGTCTCAAGTCCCTGACAGCAAAGATTGTATGTTTATGCAAAACAAAGTCCCTGGGACTATAACAATACCTGGCCTAACAGGCACTCAGTATTGTTAAATGAAGGCCATTAGCTGATAAATCAGGAAGCTGAACTTTTATAAACATGCAAAAGTCACCAGTTGGAAGATGGAAAATTCAGTCAAATAGTTCATTTAATGTTTATGGTGTGAACCAACTAGTTAGAACAATTTTTTTTTTTTTTTTTTTTTTTTTTTTACATTTTGTTGGTTATTATCTTAGACTGTCTCAGGGAGTGGAGCATGTGCGTATTTATAGGGAAAAAAATGTAATGCACAATATATTAATGTCAAAAAAGTAATGTGCACTGACAAAATAAGCTGTATTAGAGCACTTTCTCAGTAATATCATACAAAAAAGTGCTTATCCAAAAGTGTGAAATAAAGCAACTACCAATTTGTTACTTCATATATAGAAAGCTATTTCTGCTTCTCCCAGGTTTTTCTAAGTTTACAAACAACCACTTGAAGTTACAATAGCCTGAATATTTTAAATAGAACATTTTTTGAGAGCACAACTATTGCCATATGTCAGTTATAGTTGAGGTTCAGACCCAGGCTCCTGAAACAACAACAACAAAACCCATGAAAAACACAGCAGGAGGGGAATTCCAATTAGTCACACCCAGGGAATAAACCAAACAACCATTGCATAAGGATAAGCCCTAGGATATCCAGGTCCTTTTTCCCTTCCCCCTTCATGGGCCAGAGATAAGACACTCCTGAGATTTCAAGCTGCAGGCTACCAGAGCCAGGGTGAGCGAGCCCTGCTCTACAGCATCCTCAGCAGAGGTCGGGATGCTGAGGGAACTGGCAGATGCTTTGTGTTGGTCAGGTTGTGTTTCAGTCAAGAACTACCCATCAGGAGAGCCTGGCAAATGTGAATTGCTCAGCAAACCCCCACCCCTCAATCCTTGCAACTGTGTACAAGCTTCTGAGCTATTATGCACAAAGCTCATCTGGTTAAAAGCGTCTGCATAGAATTTCAGGCTGCTAATCTGTTTTCTAAATTTCTCATTAGCAATTTCCTCTTACCTGGAGGCTAGTCAGGGTAAAACTGAAAATCAGAGAGATACAGGCTTGTGGCTTATGGCTCTCTCAGTGGATTGTTGCTTCTCCCTCTTCCTGCCACTCTTTGGGCTGGAAGAAAGAAAGGAGGAGTCAGGAGGGTAAGTTTCCATCTTGCTGTAAATCTCCGTTTGACGGGATGTAAACTGATGGACTCTTTCTGGAAAGAATGTCATAGTATTTGTGAAGAGCCTCAGGTAGGTTAACTCTGATAACAAAAATACACCCAAAAGCAGAATGAATCAAACAATAGAAGTTTGTTTCTTGCACACATAATAAATACTATCTAGGACAGTGATGGCGAACCTTTTGAGCTCCGCGTGTCAGCATTTTGGAAAACGCTAACTTAACTCTGGTGCCGCGTCACATATAGAAATTTTTTGATCTTTGCAACCATAGTAAAACAAAGACTTATATTTTTGATATTTATTTTATATATTTAAATGCCATTTAACAAAGAAAAATCAACCCAAAAAATGAGTTCGCGTGTCACCTCTGACACGCGTGTCATAGGTTCGCCATCACTGATCTAGGAGAATATATGCCACCAGCTTCTATCTTTAATATATGGCTTTCAAGTTTGTGTGGAGCACATCTCCATTCTGACCAGCTGGAAAGGTGAGAAACACGGGAGACTTTCTAGGACCAGGCCGGGGAGTGACATATATCACTCCTGCTCAAATTACATGAGGCCAAGTTCAGTCAACGACCGTATCTTACTGTAAGGGAGACTGGGAAATAGCGCCTGTGTGTCCAGAAAGAAGAGAAGAATGGCTAGCTGTTTCAGCTAGAAACTTTTAAAATATAGCATATACACTTTAACCCAATAATCTAGGAATCTGTTTTAAGGAAATGTTCAGAAATTCAGTCTGTGGCAGACCTAGTAGTCTTCCCCCCCCTCAAAAAAACTGTTTTCTCTTTTTCCTTTGTAATAGAAACTGTCCATTTTTTGCCAGTGCATGGCCATTTGGTAAAAAGAAAGCTCAGCCCCTCTTACAACTAGGCATGGTATATGACTAAGTTCTGGCTTGTGAAATTCCTATGGCAATTCCTAAACTCAGTTCCTAAAAGATTGTCTTTCCTTTCTGCTTGGACTCTCCTCCATCCTTCTGCCCAGAGCGTGGATGTGAAACCTAGACTCCTGACGCCATTTTGCACCATGAAAATGAAGCCTGCCGCCTAGAGATGTATGGAATCAAAGGTCTCTAGAAGTCCAAGAGCAGAGCCCCTAATGCCCACTTCCAGTTCGGAGGTAAGAGAAAAACAAGCTTCCTTCATGTCCAAGCCACTTGTTTGGGTCTCTGTTATCAGAGCCAAATCTAATCCTAACTGATGTAAGCCAGGGGATTTTTCTTCCAATATTTTTATCTTTTTCATGCTTTTCTATTTATAGAATGATGCCAATTTGCTAAAATATATTCATTATAATTCATTGGGTCATATTATCATATAATTAAATGGGGGATTCTAAATGGGAGCTGTCTTCTGAAAGTTGCAAGCAATGCCACCCTTTAAAGACTGAGATTTCAACTCACTTTTCTGGAAGACCGTGACTTCGTTTTACAAAAGACCACATAAAAGGGTCCTTAAGGTGCACAAAGTAGAACAGTAAGAACCCGCCCACTGTTAGTGTGGAAACTGTGTTATTCTAGTTTGAAAATGGAATTTGTCGTATACAATTGGGCCAATGTCTTCAGATTTCTGTGTTTGTTTTGGGTTCTCATTGTTGTGGCTTTAGGTCAGTGATGGTGAACCTATGACATGTGTGTCAGAGGTGACACCCGAACTCATTTTTTTGGTTGATTTTTCTTTGTTAAATGGCATTTAAATATATAAAATAAATATCAAAAATATAAGTCTTTGTTTTACTATGGTTGCAAAGATCAAAAAATTTCTATATGTGACACGGCACCAGAGTTAAGTTAGGGTTTTCCAAAATGCTGACACGCCAAGCTCAAAAGGTTCGCCATCACTGCTTTAGGTGATGGTGGGGCTATAAAGGGGAGAGAGAAATGCTTTCTGGGTGAAATGAATGGAGACAGGGCTGTGTTTCTGTTATGGCTCTTTCCTGTGCAAGGTAGTGTGTGTAGTTGGCTTGTTTTAGTGGGCCTGTTGAAAATGAGGAGAAAGGAGAAAATCTGAAAGGGGTGATTTTGTGAGGACTTGGAGAAGAACATGAGTCCTGGGTGCTTCAGAACTGTTGGAAAGGAAATTAATGGAGTGTGATGATGGAGCATTAGAAGGGGTAGCAGAACATGTCAGATAGGGTGGGTACCATGATGTGAGTTTGTGGGAAAGTGTTCAGACAAAGGACTTAAATGTGCAGATTTCCATAGGAAAACAAGCTCCAGATCCTTGTAGTCAGCTGCCTCCTAGTATCTCCATGTGGATGCCCTAGAGGTATACCATCTGCATGGATACCCAAACCCCTTACCTGTGTATAGTCGCTAACCCCTCGGCCCTTTCCCCTCCCACCCAAGCAACCACCAAGTCCTAATCATTATTCCACCTTCATATCGTCAGGTTACCCACTCCTTTCCATCCCACTGACACTTTTTAATATCTGCTTTTTAGACCACCACAATCTCTTGTGGGAATTTAAGCAACAACTTCCTACTTAATTTCCCCTACCTCGGTTTTTCCTGCTCCAACATAGTCTCTACATTTCAGACAGTATCATCTTATTTTCAAATATCTGATCAATAATAGGAGAAAATTCATGGGAAATGTGCATTTTATTTTTCATAAAAACCATAAATGAGAAAACATTGCCAAAACATGTTTAAATTCTTAAATTGGTGGATACCCCGTTATCCCTAATTACCCTCCTATTGAGTTACCGCTAATGCTCTACTCTCTTCAGTGTACCAAATCAATACTATAATGTGGTTTTTAAGTCTAATTTTTAATCTCCTTGGTTTTTTATTTTTTTGTGCCAGCCCTTCAAGGTTACTGCTTTCCTTTTTTTTTATCTTCATTTTTTCACTCACATTGAAATGCATTTGCATTACTCAGAGCAGCCCTTGGAAGTCTTTAAATACATGCATAGAGCACACATATTATTCTAAACATATTTTGTAGACCTGATTGCACTAGGCAGTCTTCAATAAAACTGTCATTGTAGTTACTGCTATCCAAATGGTGACTATTTGTGTGGAATTAAGCATCACTTTCATCTTTCTAGGCTTCATCAATAACATGAAACCAGCTGGCCTATTCCTGTACCGTACCATAAAACTTTCTTTTAAAAAAAAGTCTGTTCATCACCTGAGATTCAATTGTTTTGTTTCATTTCACCTTGCACTCTTTTCTCCTGATTTTCTGGGTTACTAATTACTTGACTCATCTCCTACTCTTATTTATAACTCCTCAAACTGGATGCATCCAGCTGTTTTGACTTGGCTTTTCTCCTCACCTACACTTCCCACTCACCCTCTGTGCATTTGTCTGCTTCTGGCCACCCAGGTAAATTAGCTACCTGCTCCAATCCAGTTCCCAGCACAGACCCTCTGAAGACCATCATTCTGTCAAGTCCTTGGCTTCCATAGCTGTGATCTAGGATTAGTTTAGATCTAAGATCTTTCTCTGCCCTAAAATTCTTTAATATCACTATCTATAAGAAGTTATGTGAACACAACTTCATTTTTCAGCCCCTGACTTCTAAGTTTTTGAAGAAGCTCCTAATTTCTTCAGTAAGTATTTACTGGTATCTGATGTGCCTTGCATCTTGGTCTGATGGCTCTCCCAGCCTTCCCTGGCTTCTTCTCTCTTTCCTTTCATGTAGGCATTTCCCCTAATAAAAACTTCCCATGTTTAATTCCAGTGTGGCATCTGTCTTGGAGAACCAGGACTAAAACTGGTGAGTTTTGAAGTGTAGTACCCTCATCACTATTCTTCCTTTCTTTTTAAAAAATTATCTACCTAAAGCCAGACGTGATTTTTTTTTCAGTTGTATTGGGCTGTAATATACATACAATAAAATTTACCCCTGTAACTATAATGTTTGGTGATTTTTGACAAATACATACAGCCATGTAACTACTACCACTCTAATCAACTCACAGAGTATTTCCATTGACCTAGAAAGTTCTCTCATTGATTCCCATACTCAATCCATAGCTTCAAGCAAACTCTGCTCTGCTTTCTGTCATTATAATTTTGTCTATTCTAAGATTTCATATAAATGGAGCCATACAATATGTAGCTTTGTGAATGACTTCTTTCACTTAGCATACTATATTTTAGATTTATCATGTTGTATGTATTAATATTTCATTCTTTGGTATTGCTAAGCAGTATTCCATTGTACCATAATTTTTTTTTAGCCATTCACCAGTTTTTTCCAGTTTAGGGCTATTATGAATAATACTACTGTAAACATCTATGTAAAGTTTTTGTGTCAATATATATTTCCACTCCACTTGGACAAACACCTACAAGTGAGAATGTGAGGTCATATAACTATATTTATTTTATAAGATACTGTCATACTTTCTTCCAAAGTGACTGTGCCCACCATTTTATATTCTCATAAACAGAAAATTGCAGTTACTCCACATCCTCATCAACTATCATTAAACTTGATAGTTTAATCTTTTAAAATTTAGCTATTCTAGAGATTTTTTATCTCATAATATCTCTTTCTGGTTTTAATTTACAATTCTCTGATCACTAATGATGATGAGATTCTTTTAATTTAATTTTGACCATTTGCATATCTTTTTGTGTCTATTGAAATGGTGTAGCCTTTTAAAAAATGGGCTATTTATCTTATTATTATTGAGTCATGAAACTTTTTTATGGATGCCAATTATTTAATTTATATTTCTGAATAAAAATGGCATTTTATTATATATGTACTAGAAGGATGTGAGGTTTCTGGGTTAATAAATTATATCTCTACTGATATAATATGAAATCACAGACTAACTGGAAACTTATTAAATGCCCACCTGTGCTTGGGGATACACCCTGTGAAAATGCAACTGAAATAAGGTCTATTCAGCAGGGTCTGTCCCTACTCTGTGATCATCTGACACCCACCCTTATCCTCCTCTACTCCTAACTTCGGAGAACAATTCTAAAATCAGTTACCAGTGGTTATGAATGGGCATATTGAGTGAATAAGGGAATGAATGATGGATAACTGTGAATAATCCACTCAAATTAAGCAGGGCCTGGGCCAATTCTGGTTAGCAGGAAACTTGCCATGATTATTTGACTAAGATTCAAACCAGCTGCTGGTGGGTAATACCTACTGGTTCTGAAGCCCCTACTCTGAGCCAGACTTGCTGCATGTTTTATTTTGAATCCTACAGCCATCCTTCAAGGAAGGGTTATTCCTTTTACCACCCTCATTTTAGAGACACAGAGGTTGATGATCAGTAAGTAAGCTGAAATAACCTTGTTCAAGAGCATGTCATCAGAAAGAGGCACACTCAAACCCAGACTTGTTGCAGATAGAAAGATTCATTGTTTTTTATGGCCGAGTCATATTCTATTGTACATATGCACCACTTCTTCTCTATCTTTTCCTCTGTTGATGGAAGGTTTAGGTTGCATCCATATCTTGGCTATTATAACTAACACTGTAATGAACACATGGATGTATATGTCTTTTTGATTTAGTGTTTTGGGTTTTTTCTGATAAATACACAGATGTGGAATTGCTGGATCCTTTTTGTCTCATTATATACAGCCTTTGTTTTTGAAATTTATTTTGTCTGGCAGAAATATTGTTACATCAGCTTATTTTGTTTGTTTGTTTTCATTTTCATGAAATATATTTTTCCATTCCTTTACTTTTAGTCTATGTGTGTCTTGATCTAAAGTGAGTCTCTCATAGACAGCATTTGTAAGGGTCCTGTTTTGTTATCCATTTCGCCACTGTATGTCTTTTGATTGGAGCATATAATCCATTTGCATTTAAAGTAATTGTTAATAGATTGTGTATTTATTGCCATCTTATTATTTATATTTTTTATCTTTTTTTCTTCTTCTTCTTAAAGAAGATCCTTTAACATTTTTTGTAATACTGGTTTGGTAGTAACAAACTCCTTTAGCTTTTTCTTACCTGGGAAGCTTTTTATATGTCCTTTAATTCTAAATTATAGCTTTGCTGGGTAGAGTAATCTTGGTTGTAAGTCCTTGCTTTCATCATTTTGAATATTTTGTGCCAATCCCTTCTGACCTGCAAAGTTTCTGTTGAGAAATCAGCTCACAGTCTTATGG